CTCCTGAGTAGCTGGGATTACAGGCACGCGCCACCATGCCCAGCTAATTTTTTGTATTTTTAGTAGAGACGGGGTTTCACCGTGTTGACCAGGATGGTCTCGATCTCTTGACCTAGTGATCCACCCGCCTCGGCCTCCCAAAGTGCTGGGATTACAGGCTTGAGCCACCGCGCCCGGCCCTATTTCTTTTTTCTTTTTACTTTTTTTGAGTCAGGGTCTCACTCTGTCACCCAGGCTGAAGTGTGCAGTGGCATAATCACGGCTCACGGTAGCCCTGAACTCCTGGGCTCAAGTGATCCTCCCACCTCAGCTTCCTGAGTAGCTAGGATGACAGGTGTAAAATTAGCCAGGCACGATGGCTTACATCCTGTATCCTGTAAGCTATCATGCCTGGCTAATTTTTTGTTTGTTTTTGTAGAGACAGGGTCTCACTATGCTGGCCCAGGCTGGTCTCGGACTCCTGACCACAAGTGATCTGCCTGCCTCGGCCTCCCAAAGTGTTGGGATTGCAGGAGTGAGCCATGGCACCCAGCCTCTCCTTGTCTTTTGATGGTTGATTGAATGGCATTAATTCTCAAGGTCAATACACATTACTTAGATTAATTACATCTGCCAGGGTTTTGTCGGCAAAACAGTCTATGCCGTGTGGTTAAATAAAAGGAATTTTATGCAGAGGGTAGTTACAAATGGGTTGGAAGTGAAACAGGGAATGGGAAGCAACTCAGAAATTAGTAACAGCAGGAAGCTTCTATCACCTCGAGGGCTGGAGAATCAGCGGAGGAGGCAGTGGTAACAGAGCCCATGAGCTGAGACCACTCAACGGGAACTGGGACCACTCAATGGGAACTGAAACCACTAAGGGAAGGACCACTCGTGGAAGCAAGATAAGGAAGAAGAGCCTCTGGTGAAACCTAAAAGACATAGCCAATGTTGAAGATGTTGCCTGAAGCAGAAATTCTCCAATATCCCTCTGTTAACCAAAATAACCAGGTGAGAGAACTTTAGAAATAAAACTCGCATGAGCCAGTCCTCCGCAGTGTATAGCAGTATAAAAGGGCAAGAAATGGATCTGAGACAAGCATAATTAATAATAACTTTAATTAATAAAGTTTTCAAAGATGTCCCCAAGTCTATTAGGGTTTTAAAAAATCTAACCTCAAAATTATAAAACTTTAAAAACAGAAATTGAAGTGTCAGGGCCACGTGGGTTTTCTTATTACCCATTAATTGCTAAAATGGAAGCGGCATTTTAATTTGTTTCATTTTTAAACCATGGTTTTATGTTTTTCTGGAAATTTTTAAAAATTTATTTTATTGTTTTTTAAATACAGGGTCTAACTCTGCTGCCCAGGCTCAAGTGCAGTGACATGATCATAAATCACTGCAGCCTCAAACTCCTGGGGTTAAGGGATTCTCTGCTTCAACCTCCCAAGTAGCTAAGACTATAAGTATGTGCCACCACACCAGGCTAATTTTTAAATTGTTTGTAGAGACAGAATTTTGCTATGTTGCCCAGGCTGGTCTCAATTGAACTCCTGGCCTCAATTTCTCCTTCTGCCTAGGCCTCCCAAAATGCTGGGATTATAGGCATGAGCCACTGCGTCAGCAAGGAAATTCTAAAAGCCATTCTTATCTTGTTAGAAGCTGCTGTCTTTGTTGCCATGTCAATAAAATCTTTCATCTTCATAAACATACTATCATTTGATTGGCATTTGTTCCATCTTAACTCTTTAAAACATTTAAAAAGTTTTTTTTGCATTTATTATTTTTAACTGACACATAATAATTATATATATTTATCTGGTACAGTGTGATATTTCAACACATGTACACAATGTGTAATGATCAAATCAGTGTAATTAACATATCCATCACCTCAAACATTTATCATTTCTTTCTGTTGAAAACACAAAATTCTCTCTTCTAGCTGTTTGAAAATACACAATAAATTGTTGATAATTATAGTCACCCTATAGTACTATTAGATATTTTTTCCTCCTATCTAGCTGGAAGTTCATATTGGTTAACTACCCTCTGACTATGCCCCCATGCCTATCCTTCCCAGCCTCTAGTAACCACTAGTCTACTCTCTACTTCCNGGCCCAAATCTAGAGAATATTATTTCCAGATCCTCATCTGTGGTCACTGGGTTCAATTTACACACAAACAGCACGTTTTCTGGAGGTTTAATATCTGCATCAGGTAGGTCTCCCACCATCTCTAAAAGTATAGCCTGAGTTTTAGCCTCTTTTTCTGCCTTCATTTCTTCTACTTCCTCAGCTGATCGTCCTTTGAAATCATTAATTTCTTCATCTGCTCCTATTTGACCACTATCTAATTGTTCCCTTGTAGGTTCTGGTGACCGATCAGGGATTAATAAATCAGGAGGGTCATCAAATGGATCATCTAAAATCACCGTATGATTTATCCTGATATCCTGATATGGTACAAAGTCCTTGTCAACAAAGGTCTCATTAATTTTCTTAATTATGTCCATTCCTTCTGTCACCTCACCAAACACTGTATGGACACCATCAAGGTAATCTAGATTTTCTCCTGTAGTGATGAGAAACTGAGATCCATGTTGATCACTGCCATTGTTCACCATGGACACTGTGCCTTTCTTCTTGTGCTTAATTCTTGGGACTTTTTCTGCCTCAAAAAAGCTTGCTTGATCACCATACAGTTGGCCAAAAATAGACTCTCCTCCACGGCCAGTCCCCGTAGGATCACCAGTTTGTATGATAAAATCCCTCTGTACATTGTGAATAAGGCAATAATTGTAATATTTTATTTTGCACAATTTCAAGAAATTCAAGCAGGCACGCGGCCACTCCTCGGTGTACAAGTCGATGACGACGTCGCCCAAAGTGCTCTCTACAGAGTTTTACAAAAATTTTCTGCATAACCCATCATATTATCTTCACATAAGAGAGTTTTATTTCTTTGTTTCCAAACCTCATATCTCATACTTCTTTTTCTTGTCTTACCCTGTTAACTAAGATTTCTAGTGTGAGATTGACTGCAGAAGCAGCAGACTGTAGAAATTAATGCATAGATTCTGGAGCCCAATTCTTAAGTAAAAAACCCGATCCCGACACTCTGAGACCTTTGGAAAGCTGTTTAATTTTTCCTGTAACAGAGATTTCATTTTTTTTTTTTTTTGAGACGGAGTCTAGCTCTTTTGCCAGGCTGGAGTGCCATGGTACAATCTCTGCTCAATGTGATCTCTGCCTCTCAGGTTCAAGTGATTCTTCTGCCTCCTCCTGGGTAGCTGAGATTACAGACTCACACCACCACGCCTGGCTAATTTTTGTATTATTAGTAGAGATGAGGTTTCGCTTTGTTGGCTAGGCTGGTCTCAAAACTCCTGACTTCAGGTGATCCCCTGACCTAAGCCTCCCAAAGTGCTGGGATTATAGGCATAAGCCACCATGCCTGGCCCATAACTGAGATTTCTAAAGTTAAACTAGGTCTTATTATTGTACTTCATGTAGTTACTGTAAAAACTAAATTTGTTAACATATGTAAAGCATTAGAATAGTACCTGATTACTACTGCCTCTTTTAAATTGTTAATAAAACAAAAACAGCAATAATAGCAAGTATTCTTCTGCAATTCCTGATCTAGGATAATGTTTTGGCTGGGTGCAGTGGCTCATGCCTGTAATTCCACCACTTTGGGAGGCTGAGGCAAGTGGATCACCTTAGGTCAGGAGTTTGAGACCAACATTGTCAACATGGCAAAACCCCATCTCTATTAAAAATACAAAAAATTAGCTGGAAGTGGTGGCATACACCTGTAAGCCTAGCTGCTCAGGAGGCTGAGGCAGAAGAATCACTTGAACCCAGGAGGTAGAGGTTGCAGTGAGCCAAGATTGTGCCACCACACTCCAGCATACAGCAACAGAGCAAGACTCTGACTCAAACTAAATAAATTAATATAATAGGCCTGGTGCAGTGGCCCACGCCTGTAATCCCAGCACTTTGGGAGGCTGAGGCGGGTGGATCACTTGAGGTCAGGAGTTCAAGATCAGCCTG